CAGGGGACTTCAGGCCACACCCCCCACCTGGCAGGGCTTGAGGGGGAACCTTAGGCCACACCCCACGCCCAGCAGGGCTTGACAGGAGGCCTCAGGCCGCACCTCCCGCCTTGACACTAGGCCAGGGGACCTCAGGCCATGCCCCCCACCCAGCAGGGCTTGACAGGGGACCCTCAGGCCATGCCCTCCGCCCAGGCTGCGAACCAGGAGACCTGAGGCTGCAACCCCTGCCCGGCAGGGCTTGACAAGGGTGGGACCAGCTGGGTCTGGATCTAGCCCAATGGGGGACGGAAGGCAGGCCAGGTCTGGGTCTTGGGCGATTTTGAGGTGGGTGCGTGGGGACTTGACTCTAGGTCCTGTGGTGTGCCCCAGACTCTGACAGGAAGAAGATTTTCATATACATTTTACTAATTTTCTTTCATCTCTGACACTTCTATTATAGAGAAAGGGCAAATAGCAATATTAAAATATTTCCTCTAATTAATCCCCTTTTAATGTGCACGAATTTCATGCACTAGGCAACTAGTTGCATAATAAACTATCATGATGGAAACAAAGAAAGGACAACCTTTCATTCATTCAACCAAGAGATATTAGGTGTCCAAACAGGCACTATTCAAGGTATTGGAGACAAGCAATGAGCAAAACATTAATAAGAAGAAACAATTCAAAGTGTTTGCCTTTGGGAAGCAGGGTTGGAAGGAAGTGATGGAAGACAGAAGACAAAGTTTTACATCAGATTTTTAAAAAGCACTATTTAATACTTTCTTTTATTTTACTGAGGAAGGGAGAGGGAAAGCGAGATAGAAACATCAGTGATGAGAGAGAATCGTTGATCAGCTGTCTTCTGCAGGCCCACACCAGGAATCTAGCCCATAACCCCAGCATGTGCCACCACTGGGAATCGAACCATGACCTCCTGGCTCATAGGTCGATGCTCAACCACTGAGCTTCACCAGCCAGGCTAATACTCTTTTTAAAGAAAAAAACTGACCAAATGTTATTTACAGATATAATCACAAATAATTTTATTTTTTTATTTTTTTAAATATATTTTATTGATTTTTTACAGAGAGGAAAGGAGAGAAAGAGAGAGTCAGAAACATCGATGAGAGAGAAACATCGACCAGCTGCCTCCTGCACATCTCCTACTGGGGATGTGCCCGCAACCCAGGTACATGCCCTTGACCAGAATCGAACCTGGGACCTTTCAGTCCGCAGGCCGACACTCTATCCACTGAGCCAAACCGGTTTCGGCACAAATAATTTTAGATACAAAAATTTTTTTAAATACAATTATCTCTTAGGGGCTCACAGATCCTCTGCAACCTTACCTAGATCAGACGTGTACATCTATGGGAATAGCAGGAGCATTGAGGCACCAAGTGTGAGCCAAGGTGGGGAGGAGGGATCACTCTTCACACAGAAAGTAGAACTCAAGTTCAGGCCTCTAATGCCTTAATTTTGAGACACTGATTGGCAACAAACACACAACACTTTTCTCTTCCTCACAATTCTTAATACTTATTTATGGACCCTGGACCATAAAAAGATTTTTATCACATATAATCCGCTAGTTGTGGCAGATCTTTTGAAATGTGTGAGGGTAATGAATGGGCTAAGTGTCAGATCTTTTCTACTTCCAAATTTTTAAAGCTCGGAATGGAAAATGAACCTGAAAAACTGATTTATAAAGATTCACCTAGCTCAAAAAAATAATAAAATTATTTAAAATTCTTAAATTTTCTTTTTAATGAGCTACTCAAAGAAAAATACAGCACTAAAAGAGCCATTTACTTTCAAGTGTAACAACATTTCACCAGTAGAAAACTATGTGCACTGGCATTATTAGCACCAGCAAAGATCACACACAAAATTACACTTTACTAGCAAGAAGGCACTGGGGCAAGGAGGGGAGACAGAGTACAGGAGAAACCTGCACAAAAGGGATTGTATGAAGTTTTAAGGGGCATATAAATATCACTATTCTTAACACTGCATGTGCCATATAACTGCATGACCCATCAAGGCTCCACAAATTGCAAAGTTTTAGACTGCAGGATGAGAAAGAAAGCATGGCCTAAAGCTCACTAACACTAATTACACTTGCAAGCTGAGAGGGGATGGGATAAGGCCAGCACAAATAATGTCTAAGAGGCACCGTCAGAGAAGAAATAAAACTAGCTGAGTATCGTCCAGAACACCAAAGCATCAGCCATGGGATATGGGAGATCAATCTCAGCAGCAGATTACAATCAGGGCCTCAGGCAAAGCTTTAGAGATTGGGCACGTGACATGTGTAAGACCAGAGTAGGCGACTAAGCAATGTATCAACTGAACAACGAGGGACAGAACGTAAGCAAGAGGAGTAAGTCCTGGACCAGAAACCGGGTGTTTTTCAGAACAGACCAGAATTGTAATTCCTCTCTATTAGTTGGGAGGGATGAAGCAGGGAGCGGGAGCTGGCAGGAGGAGAATTCTCCACAAGTTATTCTCCAGCTCCCTAGATCTCTAGTTTAATGAAGTATCTGCCCACAGTGATAACATATTAGCTCATGCAGGCCGCACAGAAAAGCAGGTGGTTAACAATTTGTTTACAGAGGCATTTAACAAGTACCCAAATGTTTGAAGACATATTACTGGACTGAAAATAGCTTGGTAACTCAAGCCTGCCTGTTAAGAAAAAAAAAAAATCCTCAAAAAAGGAATAAACAAGTTGAATAAATTAGAAGAATTTTCATGACAGCTGCGATTTCAGGGAACTACCTAAATGAAGAGAAAAAATGTTTGGCAGTCTAGAGGCAAATGATCAATAAACAAAAATCAATTCTATTTCTATCACTAGCAATGAACAAAACTTAATCTAAAACTTAAATTAAGAAAACAATTTCATTTACAATAGCACCGAAAGGAAAAATATACTTAGAAATATTTTTGACAAAAGACAAATTTTGTAAACTAAAAACTCTAAGTATCATTAAAATAAATTAAAGAAGAACCAAATAAATGGAAAGATTATGTTCACAGACTGGAAGACTTAATATTGCTAAGGTGGCAATACTCCCCAAATTGATCTACAGATTCAATGCAATCCTACCAAAATTCAAACTGCCTTTTTTCCAAAAACTGACAAAGTAATCCTAAATTTCTTATGAACATGTAAGCAACCCAGAATAGCCAAAATAACTTTTGGGGGGAAAAACTTAAGAGAACTCACACTTTCAGATTTCAATGTTTACTTTAAAGCTGCAACAACCAAGACCATGTGATATTGGTATAAGTCTAGACATACAATATAGATCAATGAAATAGGACTGAGTCCAGAAATAAGTCCATGCATTTATGGTTAATTTTGGACAAGAGATAATTCACTGGGGGAGTGAATAAGGTTTTCTACAGAAATGGTGCTAAGAACAACTGGATATTCACATGGAAAGAATAAAGTT